CTCATGTACAAAATAGGATAATAATATACTCTCTCTATCTTGTAAGGGGTTGTGAAGAGCCAATGAGATCAAGTATAAAGTTATTCTGTAAATTTTAAAGTATCATATAAGTGCAGACTATTATTATGGATTATTAGACTAGAAAATCTAACCCTTTAGAATGATGTTTCTATGGGAAAATATCCTAGGAATTCCAAACAACTGCTTTACAAACAAACTTTGCAGTTGGAACTATTCATAAACTACAGTTAAAGTTAACAATCCTGAGGGAAAGCAAATAACTATGCAGGGAGGATACAATGTTCCTTCAAGGGTGGGCAAATGTTAATTATTCCTTCTAAGGCTGTTTAAAGTCAATTGTTTCTTTTAATGCTGATCATCAAGCCCTGTGTTAACAGGACCTGGTGCTTTGGTACATTTGTGAACAGGTTTAGAGAAGTGTTTGAGTGGATGGAGTGGAAGAGAAGGACAAGCGAGAGAAGAGAATGTGGGATCAGTCTGTGTCCAAGAAGACTGAAAGAGGGTATATAATGTGTGAAACATGGAAGCCTGGGCTTCCCTAGAGGAGAGTGTTTGCACCGGAATTTGTGGTAATGTGAGAAAAGTGGATTCTGGGACTAGCAGAGCCTTGTGCAGACCTCACAGAACTCTGGGTTCTGTTGCCCTTCCTTGTAGGGATATTAGCATTTGGGGAGGTAGAGGAGTCAGCCCTGGCAGATGTAACTAACTCACTGCTTGGAAGAAATCTTCAGACCTGAAGTCTGGATGTGAGAGTAGACAAGGAACACTCTTTGCCAGTTGGCGGATATCTGGATATGAAAAATAATTTCTGTTTTTCTTAATGACTTAGTGTAACCATCATGATCAATGGAGGAATGTATGGTACAAAGGAAAGAATGTGGAGTTGGAAGCAAAGGGCCTGTGTTCAAATCCCAGCATTACCACTTTATACCTCATGACCTTGGATCAGGTTTCAGTTTCTTCATCTGTAAAATGAGAGAGGTTGGACTAGATGACTTCTAAGGTCCATTCCAGGTTTAAATGTAGGATACTATTATTTGAGGCTGAAAACATGCTTACACTGAGGTTCTCTTAAACTTATTTGCTTCTACATCTCTGATAGCTTTATTTCTTGTTATTTGAATATTCTTGACATAGTCAAGTAAACTTACTAGCTTTGTGAATGAATAAGTCACTTACTTTCAGGGTCTCAGCTACCGTGCCTACAAAACAGTGATGATAATAATACATGTATTACTTCTCTCACAGGGTTGTTATGAGGATCAAGTGAGATAGGGTATGTGAAATGATTGGTAATTAGAGAATGGAGTTAATACACATTAGCATAATTAATTACAGAGTTAAAGGGTCTTTGAAGTAATTTTCTCATAGGACTTTAATTTAAATAACCCATGTTTTTTAGAATATTTATTGTCCTTTGACTTTCTAAAAATGTGATATTCAATTTTTTTTCTTATTTCAGCAATATTAACCCCTTCAACCTCCTACCTGCCTTCACCTCACTTTTAGCTTTCTTGTTTCAACTTTATAAAGGGACTTAGGTGAGAAATCATACAATTTAAAGTACTTTGCTGCATTTAAATAATCAAACTGTATTTTGCAAGTACCAGCGTAAGTGAGACTTCATTGTGGTTATCCATTTACCTTTAGATCACCTTGGCTTTAATTACTGGAAAGCAACAGACTTCTGGGTGTTGTTCATCCTTTGTTTTCAAAAAGGACCAATGACATCATGGATGATGTCTTCACTTTCAGCAAATTGGATTTAAGCGAGGCAGAGCTGCACAAATCAGCCTCTTTCTTCCAGGATCATCCAGTGGCAAGACAAAAGTCAGGATGACTGGTAATGGCCCAGGCTGCAGCGGATTGTGTCTTCAATATTTGATCAAGCTCTAATGCTCCACAGTCATGCTTCAGCTGCCAGACTTCTGGGTACCAGATAACTGAAGTTTACTATTTTATTGAGTTATTTCATTCAGCAATTAAAATTTGCTCAGCTGGGTTTAATGGGATGTTCTAGGCATTAGGTTAATAGGATTTAGAGCTGGAAGAACTCTTAGGGGATCATCTAATCCATTCACCTCATTTTACAGATGAAGGAACTAACACTCAAAGAGCTAAGTGAGGTCATAGAGGTGGGTGAGAAAATCAGAATTTGAATAAAGTCTTCTGACTCCAAATCTAGTGTTCTTTTCACTTCACCATGATGCCACCAGCTTTAGGGTATAAAATACAACTGCCTGTCACACATTTCTAAATATAGTCAGGTGACCATATATGCTTTTGAAGCAATGGTTCTCAAAATGTGATCTAGGAAGCCTTGGTGATTTCCAAGATCTTTTCAAGGATTTAGTAAGGTCAAAACCATTTTTATAATAACACAAAAGACATCTTAATTTCTAATTCAGTAAATATTGATAGATAAAACCTACATGAACAAAAACTCTTTGGGGGTGCCTCAACATTTTAAGAGTACAAAGGTGTCCTGTGACCAAAAAGTTTGAGAATATCAGATTTTAATATGAATGATCACAATTTCATAATATGGAAGGAGACACAGGTCAATCTTCGAGAGCAGACAGACTACACAGTGCAAAGGGAAGATGCACACACAATAATTGGGTTAAAAATATACAGACACTAAATTCATGACTAATATGCTCACAGAAATGAACTTACCAATCTTAAAAAGGTAGGGAAAATATATTTGACATTTTGTCTGTTAACAAACTATTTCTAGAAATGTATTTTCTGGAATTTAAACATGGAGTATCTTTTAACACTTCAAAGATCTATGTTTTGTTGGTATGCATTTCTCTAATGATGAGTATAACAGCTCTATACCTTAGCAGATGACTTTCAAGATTTGCTATGGCCAAAAAACACATCGAACTACTTCTGAACTGGTGATTACTCTCTCCAAAATGAGGTAGGTTACGAAGAACAGAATATGTAGGGAAAAAAAGTCTTTGGGAACGATAGATGTTTTTAAGCAATTCATCACCCTCTTGCCTAGACTACTTCAATAGCCTCCTAACTCATCTCCTTGCACAAGACTCTCCCCTCTTTCAATCCATCATCCACATAACTTCCAAAGTAATATTTATAAAGCGCAGGTCTGATCATGTCACTCCACTCAGTGCCTGGTGTATAGTGGACACTTATAAATGTTTACTGACTGACTGACTTTCAAGGAATCCCAGTCACTTCCTATTTCCTCTGTAATCCTGCTTGGCATTTAGAGCCCTTCACAATTTTGGGATTGTTATATGGCCCCCTTCAGGCACATATGCAGTATTATGCTGATAAACCAATGCTATGAAAAAGGAAATTAAATTAGGCTGGTATGACTTTTACTCCTCTTCACATTCTCTATGGTCCCATCAAACTGGTCTTCTTGCTGTTCTTCACACATGACATCCATTTCCAACGCTGGTGCCGGTAGCACTAGATGGATCCATATGCCTGCAACACTCTCCCTCCTCATCTCTGCTTCTCAGATACCCGAGTTTGCTTCCCTCATGGCTCAGCTCACATGCCACTTCTTATGTTAAGCCTTTCCTCATCTCCTCCAGTTGCTAATGCTTCTCCCACCCAATGACGCTGCATTTCTTTTTTGTATATTTCATACATACTTATATAATTAACATTTATTAGGCATTTACTATATGAGAAGAACTGTGCTAAATGCTATATGTGAACATGCTGCCTCACTTATGGAATGCAATATTCTTGAGGGCAGTGACAGTTTCATTTTGGCCTTTGTATTCTTAGTGCCTAGCATGCTTCCTGGCATACAGCAGGCACTTAATAAATGCCTATTGATCAAAAGGCTCTCAATTACAGGAAGGATCATGATTTTATCAGCTTTGTTCTAGAGAGAAGAACCAGAAGCCATGAGCAGAACTTGAAGAGAAGAATGTAGTCTTCAGGCAAATTAAATCTTAATGTGAAAGAAAAAAGTTACCAACAATTAAAGCTACTGTTAAGTAGAAATGGCTGCCACGGGAGGGAGTGGATTTTTCCTGAACAGAGGTCTTCATGCAAAGGAGAGTGACTCTTTGTTAGCTTATGTTGCAGAGAGAATTCTTTACTGAGGTATGGATTGGACTAGATGGACCCTAAGGCTCCTGGGAACTCATTCAGTGATTTCACAATTCTGAAAACACTTGACTTCAAACTCAAGTCACCAGTGGGAATGCCACCCCAAATGAAGCCTCCTCTATATTAGTGCAGGAGTAGCTCTTAGGAAGCGGCCTATGAGCACCATCTCTTGCGCTCCTTTCTTCCCTCCTGAATACACCTGCTGCTCAACCTGTGCCATATCAGTAAGAAAACCTGTGGGAACTAGAGAGACCCCTCTGATCCGTGACTTATGGATTAGGTCTAGTAATTACAACAGAACAGTGAGGAAACCACTCCTGTCTGCATTCTCTGAAGTGAAAATGAATAGGTAAGCCTGTGCCTGACCCTGAGGTTTCTGACCACCTGCTTCCGTAAAAATAAATTTGATCATAAATCTCAGCGACAAAAGGGAGCAAGAACTCCTATGATTATTATAACCGGGATAGCTCTCTACCTTCTCCTTCCATCCCCCGACCCTCCCGATAATGTCTGAAGAGGTTTCAGAGTCACAGAATCTAAAAGCTGGAACTTCAGAGGCCACTGAGGCCACTGACTCATACCTGCCCCAGAATTCCCTCAACAACATACCCAAAACAAGAGTTGTCCAGCCTTTGCTGAAAGACCTTTAGCAATGGGGAATCCACTCCTGTAGTTCTCAGAGGCCTGGCTGGGGTAAAGGAGAGGATGGATGTACAGGAACAGACCTGCTATAATGAATAGCCTCACAGGGTCACTAAGGGGAAAAACTGCCTTACAAATTACAAAAGTTAGCCTTCACAAATCAGAGGAGTTATACATTTGAGTATAATTCAGAACAGCAGATATTAGAAGATAAAAGTCTAAATATTTCCTACCTTTACTTCTAGAAGAAATGATAAGTGGAGGTTGCCTTTTAAGCAGCAAGAATAGTCTTTCTGCAGATTTTAGTTGCTTCAGCATTGTTAAACCAGAATTGGTAGTGAAAAAAACCTTCCCTGAAACATACTCAACCTAATGAAAGAGAAAAATACAGATGTTATTAGTCTAGTACTTGAAATTTTGCTTTTTTCTTAAGTATGTACACATATAGAAACATATGGGAAACATTACTGCCCGATAATTTAAATATTATATTTTAAGAGATAAAAATGTCATTCACCTTTATATAGTTTTATATATATATAGTTTTATATATATAAAATAATTTTATATATATATAGATATAAAATAATTTTATATCTATATATATAAACTTTATAAAGTTTTAAGCTTTGTAAAGAATTTTTCTCATAATAATCCTGCCAAATAAGTAGTACTGATATTATTATTCCCATTTCAAATATAAGGAAACTGAGGCTTTGAGAGTTTAAGAGATTTATAGTAATATAGACAGTATTTACATAGTGCTTTGAAGTTTACAAAGCGATTTACAAATACCATCTCATCTTATTCTCACAACAACCTTGAAAGGTACTTTTATTGCTATTCAGTCATTTTTCAGTCACGTCTGACTCTTCATGACCCCACTTGAGGTTTTCTTGGCAAAGATACTGGAGTAGTTTGCCAGTTCCTTCTCCAGCTCATTTTGCAGGTTAGGAAACTGAGGCAAAAAGGGTTAAGTGACTTGCTAAGGGTTACACAGCTAGTAAGTGTCTGAGGCCAAATTTTAACTCAGGGAGAAGAGTCTTCCTGACTCCAGGTGCCTTCATTTTTACAGGTGAGAAAACTGAGGCCCAGAAATATTAAATAACCTGCTAAAGGACACAAAAAGTAGTAAGTAGAAGAGCCGGGATTCAAACTTAAGTTCTCTGAATAAATCACTACCTTCCATTGCCTGTCTTATATAGAACCTCTAAATACTGTAATATGATTTTTTTTCAAGTAAACAGAAATAGAGATTCTGAGTTAAATGACTTGCAAATATATTTGTTGTTGTTCAGTCATTTCAGTCACGTCCAACTCTCCATGACCCCATTTGGGGATTTTTGGGCAAAGACACCAGAGTGGTTTGCCATTTCCTTATCCAGCTCATTTTCCAGATGAGGAACTGAGGCAAACAGGATTAAGTGACTTGACCAGGGTCACACAGCTAGTGTCTAAGACCACATATGAACTCAAGAAAATGAGCCCTCCTGACTCCAAGTCCAGCTCTGCGCACTATGGTACCAACTAGTGGCCCAAAATACACATCTCCACATCCACCCTCCACCCCTCACACTTGAAGTCAAAAAGAGCGAGTTCTAAAGCTGTCTTCTACACTTAACTCTCTTTGTGACCCTGGGCACTTAAGTTTGGGGAGCATTAGCTTCTTCTTCTGTAAAATAAGTCTTCTAACATCCATTGCACAGTGAAGGATCATATAAGAAAAGAGACATGAAATACTTTGCAAACTTGGAAGTGCTATATAAGTCAGTTATTACTATTAACAGCTTTCAACCTCATGACATACACTGCCAATTTAAAAATATTCAGAGGGGCCATATTAAATATTTTACTAGAAATAAGCCAATTAAAGATTTACTGTTCTGTAAAATACCAACTTTGTTAGCTAATATATTTAATTACACAAAATTCTGAAACATTTTTATTTATTCTAAAAGAAACTCATCATCATCATAATAGCATTTATATAACACTTTAAGGTTTGCACAGAACTTTACATGATATTTCTTTTGATCCTCATGTTATTAATAACTCCATTTTACAGATGTGGAAACTGAGGCAGGCAGAGATTAGGTGCCTTGTCTAGAACACATGGTTAGTGTCTGAAGTTTCAACCTCAGAGCTTCTGACTTCAAGTCAAGGATAGTTACAGATATTTTCTCATTTGATCATCACCACCACCCTGGGAGGTAGATGCTACTATTATCCCCATTTTACAGCTGAGGAAACTAAGGCAGACAAAGAATAAATGACTTGCCAACAGTCACACAGCTAGTAAGTGCCTTAGGTGGGATCTGAATTTAGATCATCTCAACAGTATGCCCAGCAGCTGTCTCAAAGCATTTCTCAGATGGAAGAGTAATAAGTCAATCCAGAAACTCTTAAAGCCCCTCAAAGGGTTTGTTTAGAAGGAACAATTGAATCCAGCCCCAGACACACTTAACACTTACTAGCTGTGTGACCCTGGACTAGTCACTTAACCCTGAACGCCTCACCAGAAAGCAAAAAACAACAACAAAAAAACCAGAAGGAACGATTTAAGGTTCCAAAATGAAAAGAACAATATAAAGGCAGACCTAGAAATGTTGAATACATTCTAAAAAAAAAAACCAAAACACTTCAGGAAATGACTTCCTTCAGTCAATGTCGAGGCTAAGCTCTGACCCTCTTCCTCTTTAGCAGCTGAAAGAACTCAACCAAGTAATAGGAGGAATGTATCGATGGCAACAGAAACCAGCTGCTAAGCTTAAAGCTTCCTAACTGATCATTTATTTTCAGTCACAAAACTAAAGTAAAAGGTGCCAGTTTAGCATATTTTCATCCTAATATTTGCTGCCTGAAAATTTATTTATATAGATAGAATTTGTTTTCCTCCATTTGGGAACACAGCCAATAACCAACAAAGCCCAAGCCAAGCTGCTTTTATGTCTAGCACTTTCAAAGATGATACAATAGCGCTGTTATCCAAGTGCTAACACTCAGGCAGCTGGCATTTCTGCTTCTATCCTGAAAATCGCAGATTCGAGTCCGACACAGAAAATCAAATGGAGATCCAAGTCAAAAAGTATAACCTGGGGTACCAGGTACCAAATTCATGGTCAGGACTTGTGACTTCATAGGTGTAGTGAACTCTGGTGTGGAAACTGCCTCCATAAATACAGAAATGAAGCACATTTTTCACTTAATGTCTTAGAGAGATGACTGCGGTGCCAAAAAGTTACATGGCTTGCTCAAGGTCACAAAGTCAATATGAGTCACAGGCAGGACTTGAATTGTAAGGCAAGTCCTCTACTGCTTTCAAAATTTCATAAATTAAAAGGTACAATTTGGTTGAATATGGAAATCTGTTTTACATGACTGCACATACATAACCTATATCAAACTGCTTATCATCTTAGGGAGGGGGGAAGAGAATGAAGGTGGAAGAAAATTTAGAACAATTTTTTTTAAATGAATGTTAACAATTAATTTTCTTTACATGTAACTGGAAAAAATAAAATGCTACTAAAAATAACCTTTGCCTAATTGTTACATGACCTGGGTGCTAAGAAACAGGATTGATGTATTTATTTCAGTACAACTCAGTGCTGAAAATTCAAAACCACTTTTTCCCCTATTGTAGCTTTATGCTGAAATTAGTCAACTTACAAAAAAAAAAAAAGGATGTAATCCACTAGAACTCAGGGGTGGGGAACCTGTGGCCTTGAGGCCACATGTGGCCCTCTAGGTTCTCAAGTAACACCCTTTGACTGAATCCAAATGTCACAGAACAAATCCCCTTAATAAAATGATTTGTTCTGTAAAACTTGAAATCAGTCAAAATGCCCCACCCAAAGACCTAAAGGGCCACACGTGGCCACTGGTTCCCTAGAAATTGATCACACAGAAACTTAAATAATCAGCTTGATTCAACTGTCTCAATGACAGATCCCTGGTTTTCAAGCATTTTCCAGAGCTTAACTTGATGTCTTCCATATCGTTAGTGCTCAATAAATACTACATGAATGAATGAGAGAAAACAATTCATTTCTTTCTTAATAATCCTTTAAGTACTCCTAGGCTAAGTCAATCCATAATATTTTATTTTTCAGGTTAAATAATTCCAACTGCTTTAACATCTTTATTCTTTAATAATTTTTGCTGCATTTCTTTGACTCCTCTAAAATTTTCTCACATGCCTCTTATAATTCAGTGGCCAAACACCTACATACCAATCTAACGAGACTTTCATCAGTGCCACTGAATAATGGCTATCTTTCTAGCAACACAAGTTTAAATTCCAGAAATACAAATCACTTTCTACTATGATGTTCTCATCTTACTCCCAACTCATGGACTCCAAAAATATCTTCCCTTTTAAGGGCTCCTCAAAAGGGGAGTTTCTTAAGGGTTAGGTAGCTACATATACATGTGCCTAGCTTTTAAAGTAAGAGCAACACATATTTCATATATTCAAGTTATGTTCCACAATGTGTGGATCTTTTGGTATTTGCTGACTTGTTTTTCTCCTCCTGAAAGAGATTTGGTTGGACAGCTGTTTTTCTATAACCAGATGACCTCTGGCAAGTTTTTAATTAGCCTGTCTACCCCTCCATGATCCATCCTTTACACCACGGTCAAAGCAGTTTTCCAAATAGACAGTTCTAACGATCACTTTTTACTCAAAAAATTATCATGGCTCCCTACTGCCCATTAGATAAAACATAAATTCCTGATTCTGGCACTCAAAGCACCTTCCTCCCTACCAATTCAACTTTCCAGTCATATCATGTACTATTCTTCTCCACATACTCTGTATTTAAAGTGCAGACTGGATGACTGTTCCCTTCTTCCCACCCTACCCTCTCTTGTCTGTTCCTCTGCTCACGTTGTCCCCCATGCTTGAAATCTGCCATCCCATCCCCACCCCCCAAATCTAATTTATTAAACTTTGAGGCCCAATTCAGATGGCATCTGTTTCATGAATCCATCTCTGCCTTCTCTGACCCAACCCCCCACCCTCAACCCCCCCCCAGCAAATAGGATCTCAAATTTCTTATAGCACTTTGGGACTTTCCACTACAGGACAATTATCTGGTAGCCTTCCTCTGGTACTGAATTGAAAACTCTAGTGATAAAGCCTTGTACTTTATAGGTGAGTAAGTTCTGTTGAATTAATGAATACAGAATTCAATGGGCAACAGCCCACTTAAATCCATCTTCCATTAAGCCACCAAAGTGATTTTCCTAAAAAGCAATCACTGATGAAATCATCCCCACTACTCAATAAACTGCAGTGACTCCCTATTGCTTCTGTGACAAACACAATAGGCTTTGTTTGGCCTTCAAAGCCCTTAATAGTGCAGCTGTCTCCTACCTTTCCAGGCTTCTTACACCTTACTCCCAACATATACTTTTCCATCCAGTGACACTGGCCTCCTTTCATTCCCAAGAACAAGACATTCTATCTCTTGGCTACAGACATTTTGTCTGGCTAGAATCCCATGCCTGGAATGCTCCACTCCAGACTACTGGCCTCTCTGATTTCCTTTAATTCCCAACTAAAATCCCACACTATACAGAAAACCTTCCATAACCCTCTTAATTCCAGTTCCCTTCTCTCTGTTAACTATTTCCTATTCATTCTGCTTGCTTGTTTTCATATCTTCTCCCTCATTAGATTGCAAACTCCTTGAGGGCAAGGAATGTCTTCGGTCTCTCTTTATATCCTCAGCATTTTGCAGAATGCCTGGCACATAACAGGTACTTAATAAATGTTTACTGATTGGATTATAACCCTTGGTGCAATATAAAGTCCTCAGGATTTAGAGTCGTAAGAGCTGGATTCAAGTCCTATGTGACTTCGGGTAAATCACTAAACCTCCCTGGGCTTTAGTTTTCTTATCTATAAAATGAGGGAGTTGGCCTCCCAAGACTAAATCTAGTAAATAGAGTGTTAGATTTGGAGTCAGGAAGACCAGAGTTCCAATCCATCCTGACACTTGTAAGCTATGTGACCCCTGGGAGATCACTCAACTTCTCCGTGCCTTCCTTTTTTCCTGTAGGATGGGGATATAATAGCACCTATCTGCCAGGATTGTTGTAGGTCTCAAATGAACTATGAAGTAAAGTGCTTTGCAAACCTCGAAGAGCTATAAAAATGCTAGGTGGTGTTAATATTATCATTAGGTCCTAGGCCACCTGAGTATCTTCAAAAGGTGGGCAAGGGTTTGTTTTCATTCATCAGCTCTGCAATGCTCCCCTCTACGTGTTGCCTTCTATTAGAATGTAAGCTCCTCGCGGGGAGGCCCTCTGTTGGTTGCTTCCTTACCCTCGGCACTTAGCACAGCGCTTGGCACGTGTCCGGTGCTTCAGAAATGCTCCTCCCTCCCTCCATCGCCACTGAGAGCCAGGAGGAAGCCGGGCCTGAGCTCACACCAGGAGAGGGGAGGAGTTCCGGCTCACCCACGAGGCCCCGCCCACTCAGGGGCCGGAGGGGGCGGGGCTACGCTGGGCCGGGGACCCCGGGGTTCCAGGGAGGGAGGGAACTCACCTGAGTCACTGCTAAGCGGGCTCGAATCTCCCGCATGAGGAAGGGCTCCAGGCCGCGGCCGACAGTACAGAAATACCGAGCCCCGGCCGGAAGCGGCGATGGGGGGTCTCTCAGGGATGGCGGCCTCTCCTCGGGCGCCAGGGCTGACATTGCCACACGCGGAGATGAAGCCCGGGCTCCCAGCGGAGGGAGGGAGGGAGAGGAGAGGGAGGGAGGGCCGCACGACCCCGACGCTCTCGGGTCACTTGGCGCTCTGAGCGCGCGCCGGAAGGGAGAGGAGGGAGGGACGAGGGAAGTGGCAGGGAGAAGGAGGTGGATGGGAGCTCGATAGCGGAAGGGGCCTGGGGGAGATAGAAGGGAGAGAAAGAAGGCGAAAAGCACCAATAGTAGCGTTTTCAGTATTTCAGTTAAACACCAAGTATGCAAAACACTGCTGGGCTCCAGTGATACAAAGGTCCTTGCCCTCAAGAAGATGATATTCTACAGTGGGAAAGGAGTAGGGAAGGGTTAATAAAAAATAAAGACTTGAAAAAACACAAAAAAGATCCAGAAAAATTTGAGGAGGAGAACACTTTCAACTGGGCAGAACAAGGGTGGGTGGCATCTGAGCTGAGCCTAGAAGGAAGAGAAGGACTCTGGGAGCAGAGATGCAGAGGAAATACATTCATTTCGTGTTCTGTGCCAGTGCCCACGAATAACAAGTTTTGGGGAAAACCAGTGGTTCAGTTTGGCTGGAATGTGGAGTGTATTACAGGAAATAATTGGAAAAGTCAAGTCTAATGAGACAAGTTTAGGAGTTCAATTTTAGATATGCTGAATTTGTGGTGTGAACAGGGAGGTATACTTGACCAGAATTTCTTGCCTAGAATTCAGAGAAGAAACTAAGAGAAAGTAGAAGTCAATTAGTCTACCTCTCCTCCACCTCCAGATTTACAGATGGAGAACCTGAGGCCCATAGATGTTAAGTGACACCCAAAGATACACAGATAGTAAGTGTCATCTTGGTTACAAATCCAGTGATGTGTGTATGTGTGTGTGTGTGTGTACATACATATACACACACGTATATACAATATATATGTACTGTATAGAAATGAGAACAAGGTATATGTGTTTAAATAGACATGCATATGTCTAACATATATATATGTATTTGTATAGATATGGGAATAAATGAGAGATCACTGTGACAAAATCTATTTTATAAGGTTGTGGGGATCAAATGAGATAATATTTGTAAAGTGCTTAGAACAGTGCTTGGCACAAAGTCAGTGTTCTATAAATGCTAGTTGTTACTATGTATTGTTACATCCCTACACATTTGTAGGCAGGAGGAAAAAAGCCAATAGGGAGAAATTCAAGATGGGAGGGAGAGAGGATGATTGATGGGTCAAGGCTTCAAAGGAGACTGGATGGAATATAATAAAGGAGACAGAGAAGAATTAGCTTTGGCAAAGAGAAAGGGTATTGATTCTCTGAGACTACAGCAAAGAAAGAAAAGATCGAAGATGATGTGCAGAGCTTTTGAGGTGTATAGTAGAGATGAGGGAGCCCACAGTGTGTGGCCTGCATTTTCTTGGTAAAGTAGTATGTGAGATCAGCTGCTGATAGAGAGGGAGGCAGTTTTTATTGGGGTTCTTGAGAGAGGAGAAGGCTTAGAACATGGCTGGGCCCAGCTTTTCCTACTTTGACATGGAAGACCAGAGTTAGCTCTTAAGAGTTAAGTAATTTTTGTGACTTTGTTATTATTTTAAACTTGTGTGTTTACATGTTGTGTTAGCAGTAGCAGTTGTTTTAAAACCTAAAGAAGGCCTATTTGTTGGTTTCAGGGGGCAAGCAAGGGAGCATTAAAAAAAAAACCCAAAAAAACAAAACCCTGTCCTCATTACTTACAGAAGAAGTAGGTAGAATAATAATAATAGCTCATATTCATGTGAGAGGTAGCAGGAAGTACTGAGACCAGTGCCTGGTCTTAGGCAGCTGTCAGGACCTAGGCATGTGGCTGTCACTCAGCATCGTCTATTATGCATACCACTCAATACCAAAGGGTACTATGGGCTATCTGCCAAGCTCTCTGTGCCTGTCTCAGACCCTTGGAATAGCTGGCTGCCATTCAGCCCTCAGCTCTCCTCTTTTAAGAAAGTGTTGACAATTGAATTAGTCTAGGTTTTGGTTCTGCATCATCTTATTGAATGCCAGGGCTTGAGCCTCCAACCTGATGAGGAAAACTCCATCTGGTCCATGATACATGTCGTGAAAGGTCACTTAAAACATTTTTTTGTTGTTGTTGTTCCACATATGTGATTTTATCAGCATAGGGAACTTCGAGTGAGGAAACAGTATTTACCAATACAGATAATCAACTGTTGTGCAGCTTAAAGGTATTAGAGCATTTCCAGGAATTCTGAAAAGTTAGGTCATTTGCCCAGGGTCTCTTACACTGCCCTAATATATCAGAAGTAGGATTTGAAACCACGTTTTGCTGACTCTAGGGCCACTTCTCTACCCGCTTTGCTACATTGCTTTTCGAGGCATTTTATAACATAATTTAATCAGAAGGTTAGCAATAAATCAATGAAAAAGATGTGTTTCCCTAGCCTGTGACAAAACCAGTTTCTGTGCCAACTCCCTAGTAGTAGGAAGGGCAAAATTCTGGAACAGACACCTTATTCCAGGCCTAAGAGGTCAAAGGTAAACAAACAAACCAGGGCTTTTTCACTTACAAATCTATCCTATGCCCTATCATCATCCCCAACCTTTAGATTCAGCTTCATGGTAATACCTGCAGGAACTCAAGAGCTCTATTCTTCTCTCCTGATCTAGCATGGTTTATACAAGCAGGACAGCATCTGGCATTAACTTTGCTCCCAGGCAGTCAGATTTCCAGTCTCAGATTTCCAGCTCCCCTTCTCATCTGACTAAGAGGTAAGTATATCTAATTTAGTTTCTGTCCCTTTGACAGAAATTTGACAATCTAAGGAGGTTTCCCCCACCATAAGATTTAAGCTATATGGTTCTCACAGTCCTGTCATTGGAAAAACATGAGTTCCTGCTGCTGTTTAATGGCATGAGGCTGCTATTTTCTCTTTTCTCTCCTCAGTTCAAGATCAGACCCTTTTGAAATCTCTTGCTTCCTGCATGTGGTGGCCACAGGTACCTTTTCATCTATTATCAAGCTTAGAGCTCTGTATGATTCAGTCAGGGTGCCACACTGACACTGCTTCTAATAATAACTACCATTTATATAGTGTTTTAAAGCTTGCAAAGCACTTTACAAGTGTTATCTCAGTTGTTATCTTCTCCAAATAACCCTGGAAGGTAGGTGCTATTATTATCCCCATTTTACAGTTAAGGAAACTGAAGCAGACTGAGGTTAAATGATTTGCCCAGAGTGACACTGAGTATAAGGCAGGATGATGAATTCAGGTCTTCCTGACTCCAAGGCCAGCTCTGTATAACCAAACATACAGATCACTTTATATACAGTGTGTTATCTCATTTAATTTTCATGACAACGCTGTGAGATAGGTAGTACAAATATAATTATCTCCATTTTACAGTTGAAATTGTGGAGGTCAAGTAACTTGTCACATTGTTGTAAAGTAGCTTTATCAGGTAGGAACCTCGTATGGAGAAATATGATCGACTAACGGAGGCAGCAAACTAAACTAAGAAAATATGAAAGAAAAGTAAGAGATGGGGAACAGTGAATCCCAATGGCAACCAGAGCTCAATACCCTGGACATATAAGACCCATACATATTCAGTGTTTTTGGTTGTGAAACCTTCAAGACTTAGTGTCGCTTCCAACTTCAGGAAAATATTTTTATTTTTAAAAATTATTTGCTGATTAATTAATTAGGTTAATTAAAGTCAGCACTGGCTATTCATAGGGGCCTTGAAGTCAGGAGAAGGTGACCTAAACCTTCAGGTATCTCTCTAATCTAGAGCCCTTCCAAAGTAAGATGCCAGATACTGCTTCTTAAACATTTTCATTGGTTTCTAATATGAATTCTACTTTCAATTAATCACAAATATTTATTAACTAACTAAAATATTAATGACCAATATTAATAGTATATCCCAGGTCCTCTGCTAGGCACTGGTTATATAAGTTCAAAGAATATACTAATAGCCACTTTCAATAAGCTTATATCCTAATGGAAGAGACAAGTATGTATAAAAAAAAACATACAGCACAAACATAAAATTAATACAGTCAGAAAGTCCTTAAATACAAGATAGTTTAGTTGAGCCAGGATTCAGGTCTTCTGACTGTTAGCAGCCCTGGGAAAGGTACCTTTATTTGTCTGTCCTCCCTCTCCCAAGTACTTTGACTACAAGTTGTAGCCTCCTCTTCTGGACCTAGGGTTCTGTTTCTGTGTGCGCATATCTCAGCTGGCACAGGGAATGGATGGATTTGGAGTTAAGAAATCCTGAGACACTAGCTGTGTGCCCTGGGGCAAGTCACTTAATCTCTATCTGCCTCAGTTCCCTCATCTGTTAAACTAGGGATAATAACAGCATCTACCTCCCAGGTTGATCTAACTGAGGATCAAATGCGATAATATTTGTAAAGTGTTTTGAAAACTTCAAAGTCCCATATAAAGTACTATTATTATTATTAATAACAGTTATTATTATTTTCCCTCTGTTGCATCTTAGCCCTATTCACCTCCCTTTTGTGTATGTGCATTTTCTGCTTGATGGTGGTGACTATGTGATTTCATATTAGAAGAGGCCAAAGCTAAATTCCTAATGCAGAGTAGGATTGAGAAGATGGAGCTCATTCTCATTTTGATAAATAATGATTTGTGTATTTCTTTAGACAGAAATTTCTACAATATGAGCAATATATATTTTATTTCTGTGTACTTAGTAAATTTACGCTCCTGTTTTCAAAGAAAGACCTGTACAAATGAGAGTTGTTGGATACAATACATACCAAGATTCGATATCACCAGAGCTTAGGAGCCTCTTGGAATATATGTAAAAGAAGCACATGTCCTCAGAGAAGTCTTGCTAACATGATTTCCAGTCCTCTGTTCATTTCACTTACACCACGCGGCTTCCAGAATAACAGTACTGTAGGGAGCCCAGAGAAATGATGCAGCATTGTTATAGACTGCTGGGCAACCAGAAAAGCAGACAAACAAATCCATCGTTCGCACACAACAGAACAAAGGAATTATACAGACTGTGAAATTAAGAATCAGAATTGCTCATTGCTCTTGGCTGCCTCTGCAAAAGCATTATGACAGACA